ACTCAGCATTCATTAACACCAGTAAGTTTTGTTGTGGTACACCTTCTTAATTTTTCAGAAATGGAAGGCTTTTTTTTCATTTATTTCTCACTTAAGCACCGTTATAAAAAAATATCTGTTTTTAAGGAGAGAAAATGATATACATGTATTCAATTAGTTTTAACAGTTTACGTGTTATTTGACATAATGGATTATTTTACAAGTGATATTGTCAAGTGTGTATCAGAAAGGATGAATTGCATTTATGCACGTAATGTAAATAAAACTTTGAACCTGATATTGTTCCTGACCTCGAATTATAGATCGAGGTTAAATGTTTACAGTGATTAAGGAGAAACACTTTAGAACTCAAAATATTAAGTTACCAAGATGTCTCTTAAGCATGCGAGAACATCATGATTAATTTTAAGGGTAATACTTTCAAGAAAGAAATTGTGTTTTTGTTACGGTCAATAGACCTCGGAAAATAATCTTCATGTGGATATATTTTGATAACAAAGAAGCAATAATATGTATTTCAATGAGATATTTTATGCTTTTCTCGTATTTAATTCCAAGTTTTTTCACAAACGAAATAAAACGTTGAGTGGCACCTGTTGTCATTCCAGTGCCCTCTTCTGTTGAAGCCTTTGGAGAAATCGACACAGTCTTCATTCTTCCGATAATCATTAGGTTCCCCTGTGTTCCAGTCCTTGAAACTCAGGGGACTTCCGGTCGACGCCCAAACAAATTGTCCCTCAGTTACGTCATCTATTCCCCCTGTCCAGTAGATATCTGTCATGAAAAAAGAATTAGATTTATAATTCGAGTGGATAAAATCTTCATTTTGAAATACGATAATTCAGAATTTTTTAAAATACCATTTGTGTTGATGAGTGTTTGCTTCAGAAAATCATTTTCTTCCTTTGTTTCTATCTCGACTAATTTAGCTCCATATCGTAAGCATTTAATCTGCAAATGAATGTTAATATTACTGTCATTTTAATGGAGATCTTGCATTTAACTTACTTTTTCTAAAAGGTTATTAGCCATCACACAAAAGAAAAAATAACACTTACAGCGGCATCATCCCAAGACTTTTTCTGTTTAATGACAATGTAACAAGATGATCCAAACGATGACCAATCTGGCGGACATGAATTTTGGGGTATGTCTGCATAAAATTATTGTCTTAGTCAATAAATAACTGAGAAAATTCTTCTATTTTTATTTTGAAATTTACATTTTTCACTTGATTTTTAAACTAAATTTCCTGTTGATATATGCATGTAATAAGATAATATATGAGTATTTAAGTTCTGCGCTAAAAGGTTTGTACGTTTGTCTGCAATGATTCAAACTATTTCAATAAAAACTTAAAAATAAAGTCGGATTTACCTTTGTTTAGAGTGCTCATATTGTTTTTGAGTTTTGTCAGTTCACTTTGCATCCCTTCTACTATTTCTAGTAGTTTTGTGTCTTGCTCTATAAAAATGATGTAACATGATAAAAGTTCGACGAGATGATTTAAGGTTTTCCATGGTTAACTCCTTCTTTATTATACGCCCGTAGGATGGGACGTTAAAAAGTGCCTTGTGTCAAGGATTACAACCCCCTTGGCACGCTGGTTTTCGAAGAGAATTGGCTCATTTATGGCCGCTAGAGAAACACCAAAAAATTTTAAAACTTCATACAGTATTTAAATTTCCCGCCGAAATATTGCCAATTCGGCGTAAAAAAAAAACAATAACCAATCGCTCAAACATCTTTCCTTATTATATAGTAATAATCCGTTAACTCCTGCAGATGTATTTCATTTCCCAGCATATTCGATACTGAAGGGAATGCTCCGAGCACGAACAATTTTTAAATTGAGACAGGTTACTGCCATTCAAATTGAGGTTAAGGAAATTTCAATAACATTGTGAACTCAGCATTTTTAAATTCCTTTTTTATTTTTTAAATGTTGAGTTCGCTATATAATGACCTTGTCAGTAAATATAAATTTTAATTTGATCATATTATGCAGATTTTTTGCGTTAACTCGACTATAACAAGGAACACACGGCGGGTGTTACAAATTTTTCCATGGAGCTTAATCTCACCTCTTGTAGATTATTAATAAGAGGTCCGTGTTTGTTCTGTTCCAATTTTGTAGACCTTTGAGATTCTTTATGATTCGTTTGTTCAAATTTTCTTATGATTAATACATGTACGATTAAGGTATTCCTTTTGTCGATTATGGTGTTCAAATGTAAATTATAAAAAAAACTTACCCTTGTTGTTGGAAATGTCCTTTTTCATTTGCAAGGATTCAGCATTCACATAATCTAATTTTGTGGACAAATTTTGAAGATGTTCTACAAATATATCAAGACAATATCAGTTGTCTTCAAGATAATTTAAGTAAGTTTGGTATCAAGATCTTTAATTTTGTTAAAAATGTAAGTATGTGCAGAAAAATGGGCTTAACAGAAATAGACGCAGGACAAAAATTCACTTAATACAGTGTAATACAAAGATGGATTTATTTAAAAGATGTATAAACTTATAAACTATGAAGCTTGTTATAGGCTTTAATGGTAAAAATCACTGGCCTGCGCTCAGCTAAAACTTTTAACAGTTATTTTCATTTTAAAACCGTTTAATAAAACCTATTCTCTTTAGCATAGCCAAGAAAAACGTCTTAAAATGGCACTCTTTTTTAAAAAAATATAAAACCCGTGTTATATGAGAAATTTTAAAACCTTGACATTAGAGGAAAATATTAACCGGGTATAAAGTAATTATTCTGATGAATTATCTTTCAATTTAAATAGTTTATTTTTATATTTTACAGGCATGGTATGTTTCTTACCTCCCATTGTCTGAACAAGTGTATCTGTGTTTTGTATTTTCTCCGAGTTGTTTGCCAGAGTGGACGTAACATTGAATGTTAAATCACTAATTCTTCTAAATATTTCACTTGTTTTGACTTGAATCATTGCCTCAAGCATTTCTTTCAATTCTCCAGAAGTTTGATTCAGTGTCTTTGTCAACTGTCTTTCCAAGTCTGAATCAAAGAGTTGTAATTCTTGAATTTTACTGAAGATGGTTGATACATTGTAAACCAAAACTTGCTGATTTCTGAACTGATCCAGATGAATCGTCAGTATATTACTGATAACACCACTTTGATTCACTAATCTCCCCTCTAACAGGGAAAGCTGTTCTAAAGCTCTGTTAGTTCGATTCTTTTCCTTTCCATGAGTAATAGACAAATTCTCTAACTCGCGTTTGAAAGCCATTTTGTCAAAGTATATTAAAGATTGTGTTGCCTTTGAATTAATCGTGATGTTTGTCTTGATTTCAGATACTGCACCGGAAAGCCTTCTTTGGTGTTCATCAAAAGCATCCACCGTCGATGTGACTTTTTTGAAATCTCTAAGCCAATTTGATTTCAAATCATATATTTTAGAGTTTATTGTTTTCTCGAGGACTTCAAATCCTTTAAAAAACATTCTGTGAACAATGTCGTTCACATCAACTGATGTCCCGGTGTGATAGATTTCCACTGAGCTCGAATATAAAGGTTGTGCCTTCGTAAAGGTTAGTGCTAAAATGAGACCAATGACTGACCAGGGCATCTTTATAGCCATGAGAATATGAATAAAATTTTACCCGAATCGCAGTATGTTAGACCTTTTCTCACGAGTTGACTGTTGAACGTATTTGAAATCCGAAGTATTTATATGTATGCAAGCCTTGAACTTCTTGCACTTTTGTGAAACTCTTCCGAAATTCCGGTTTCATAGTATTTCACTCAGTCTTTTTGTGTTGAGAGCATCAATTTTTTTTTTAAATGAGTCTTTCACTTTTACTTTCTTTTTTCATTTTATGTTCCTTGAATTCTTACATATTCCTTACTGTTAAATATCTTGAAGTGAGGTGGTGTCTTGGAAATCGAGGAACACATCCCTCCCCACCCCACGCTAAAATAAAATTGACGGCTCTTTTATTTGACTCACAATACATGTAATTCTATTCTAAAACATTCATTCCTTTTCACTATATTGTACATGTTGTATAATGCCTATAATAGAAAAAATATGTACATTTCAGGAAATGCCGCTATATAATATATTTTGAATGTTATGACTGAATATATCTTATGAAAATTTCTTTCTCAAGAACTGATTAGAAACTTCAAATTAAACATGTTACACTGTAAATATCAAGTGTTTAGTAGTAGTGCTAGTTGTTGATTTTTCTTTTGTTTTTATGACCTCTTAATTTTTTTTGTCTTGTGGAAGGGACATGTTGTCCCAAAAATTTGACAACTTTTATTGTTCAAGTCGTTGGTCATTTTTAGTGCTTTATATAAATTTCCATCCATGACCTATATTACAAAATAGCCCGTGTTTTAAGTGAAGTTGAGAGTGAAACGATTAAGAAGCACGTAAAGTGTTCTTGATATGATACATATATTGACCCTAGTAAGTATTATATACTGAAAGTAAAAAGAAAAGCAGTATAATATGCGTTTTTTATCGCATGACCGAAAATTACAAAAAAAACTGATCAGATCAGAATCTTGGTTACTATGCACTAAACTCAATGTTCAGAATTACTCAACGGTGAAGTGTAACAGTCACATCAAGAAACTGCTTAAAAGCAACAAAAAAAAAACAAACAAACAAAAAAAAAACAAAAAAAAAAACAAGCTAATTCAGAGAATTTGTGTCCCCCGCTTAGGGAAAAAGTAAACCATGCGCAGTTCGGGGGGGGGGGGGGGGGGGGGGGGGGGTTCGGATCCTCCTGACTGAATTTGTAGAATTATTAAATGTATACATGTATACTGACGCAAATAAAATATGTCAATATGGATATAAAGATTTGATTGCTTATTATTAATTATGTGTATAGAAGATTCTTTTTATATGGAATATTTATCACACTGTAATGATGATTTTATAACCTCATAAATTTTTCATTTCACATGCTGAATACTATCATTTAGTACCACTAGACCAAAAAATAGACATACACTAAAAATTAATAAGAAAGAAAAGTATTTAAATAAAAAGGATCGGCCAGATATTGAAAATATGTAACCCCAAAATTCTACCTCTTCGTGGATCAATAATGAGAGCGAAAATAATTCAGTTTAAGTGTATAAATTTTCAGCTTTGGTTCAAATTCATGGATCTCTCACATGTGAAGCGAGAGACATACCACTAGACCACGGAATCGCTTTACATGAAGTCAAGTATATGCAGAACTAAAGTCACATACATGTATATATTCATCATATTCGGTATTCTAAAAATTTTACACAATCCATGGTGTTTGATTTATTTAGCCTTTATTAAACATTTCAAATAGATGTAATAAGAACGTAGATGTAATAAAGTCCGCCGAGAACCTGTTTTATACGCAATAACTGTCTTCATGCCCCTATGCTAAAAATAGCGACATGTAATACTATAAATACTAATGAAACAAACGGGGCGGGGTACTTTGAGAGGGGTGAGAGAGGTCCTAGGGAGTTTTGGTATAAAATTACATTGCATAAGCTCAAAATATGATATTCTTGAAATATCGCCCGGAAATGATAGTGTTACACACAGACAGAATGTATAAATTTACGACCTTGAACTTTGACCTTTTGACCTCAAGATCAATAGGGGTCTTCATTAGGCCACAGGGAGTTGTTATGTAAAATTTCATTGCAATAGCTCAAATGGTTCTACAGATATCGTGTGGAAACGAAAGTGATAACAGACAGAATTTGCTTATTTATGACCTTGACCTTTGACCTTTTGACCTCAAAATCAATAGGGTTCTTCTTTAGTCCATAGGATTTGCTATGCTAAATTTCATTGCAAAAACTCAAAGGGTTCTCGAGATATCGTGTGGAAACGAAAGCGTTACAGACAGACAGACTAATATCCCCCACTTTTCAAGCGGGGTACAAAAACATGCAACTTGATGACGACATGTTTATCAACGATCTTCCTGTACCATGAAATATATGGAGATAACGACGCAGCATTCAAGCTCAAAAGTCCACTATACAATACAAAATGGGAGCAGAGAAAACACGGACCTCCTAAACAACAGAGTGGGATCAGGTGCCATGGAGGAGTGAGCATTCCCTGCCCTTCGTCAATTCAGTGTATAAATAATGGACTAACAAGTAGTGTGAAAAACGTAAGTCAACATTTGACTCAATGATAAATTGTATCTGCTGACTAGGGCATTGTATCGACCATTGAACTTACGAAATAATAACTTTAAACGAGACTGCTGAAATTCTTGTTTTATCAACTTGTTTGTCAATAATTTACATCGTTTTAGATATTGTTCATACGTAGAAATTTTTTTCGTATCGAATCAACTGAGAGATATAAACTCCATACGTAGGTGATGAAGGTATGTTGCTGCATAAATAAGGGAAGTTGACGATCGGAAAGTTAAAGTCATTCCGTTTATTATAGAGCTTGGTTGTTAGATTACAATTAATTTCTTTTTCAAGTAAAATAAGTTTTCAAGTCCAAATATGAAACAGACCTAGATGTGTCAGACTCTGTGATGGTATCTTTTGTCTGAAGCTCACCGGGATTTTTCGTACAGACAAAGACAAAGGAATGGAAATAATCATTTAATTGACGATACGTCGTTGGTATACTAGTATCGAAATGTCGAGTTGAAGCACACCACAAATGTTTTCATCTTTTCACGCATAAGATTTTAGACAAATTCTGTTTCATATTAATACAAAAATAGGTCTGCAAAACGGAGCGCAATTGGTACCCATGGGATTTCCAATAGATTATTGGAAGACCTGGTCTCCATAAACCAAATACTAGTAGATGTTGTCAATCAGAAACTCAAGCATCTTTTTGATGTCAACTTCAGAGTACGAGGGTTGTTCGGAAATTATTGAGACAATTACATTTACTCCATAAAGGACGGAGATTATTTCATAAAAATTCATCAACATCTTATAAAAAACGAGTAAAATACTTGAGCAAATTTTCTAATTCCTGCGATAATTATATAAGTTTCTGTGAAGTAATAAATATGCATATGTCTATCTAAGCAAATTTAACGTTACGTTAGCCTATCGGGAAGCGTTTAATGCTCTTCTTTTGTTATTAAATACAGTTGTATATAACATTACAAAAATCAAACAGTCTCTTTTCTTAAACTATTCTTTAAAAATGTATGCTGTTGCTACCCCAGTCAAAAAATTTCATTAATGGGAAAGGATGACTTAGAATCATGCAGTGCCAATTTATGCAACGCGGGTTAAATACCGTAACGATATCAATACTGTATGTAAAAACTCATGGTCGTCCAGATCTTTTAATTTTACTCTTGTTAAATTAATTGCTAAAAAAATGTATACCAATGAAATAACAAACCTTAACACATCATTTTTTTCTCGTTGTTATTGTTTAAGCAGGTCGTTCAGTCTTGAAAAGAGTTCTACATTGCGCTACACAAAATTTTAGGTATGATGGCTGCTCCGCCCTTGACGTCAAAATCCACTTTTTCGTTGTTAGCAGACTTCTCTACCGCGCTTAATCTTTTTAAACTGATCAAAATTCTATCTGCACAACATGAATTTAGCTGAAAATTTATACACTTAAATGAATTATTTTGTCATTATTGATCCACGAAGAGGTAGAATTTTGGGGTTACATATTTTCAATATCTGATTCCGCGACTGCTCCGGGCACCCCTACTATTGACACATTTATAAACCATTGTAGAGAAAATTTTTAATATTTGTAAACTATTTCTTGCTCTTATTAATTTTTAGTGTATGTCTAACGTTATATTTTCATTGTTCATTGCAAAATATACACAATGTCTCAATAATTTTCGAACAACCCTCGTACTTGTGTATGCAATCAGAAATTTTTTTTAAAGCGGCACAGTGAGTCAAAATCATATCTTAATTTTAAGATTCTGTAGCATACAGAGAAAGACTTACGAAAATTATGAGTATATAGCGAAGATATGACAATTCAACTGCAAGAATTGACTGCACAATATAAGTGCCGGAAAAACAAAGGTTGTATTAACCGTTTCGTTGTTTCGTATATGTCAAGGTCACGCTATACTCTTATTTTTAGCTCAAACTTGTAAACAAAATTCAACTGGAGCATGCAAAGGTGAGAAATATGTTCTAACAACTTTTTAAAAAGATTGCATCAAATTTTTTGGTTTACTTATATTCATTCGTGGATACCTGAGACCATGGTAACTATGGAAACTTATTAAACACTTTTCTGCGCACGCGTATGATAGGAAGGAAGAAGTACGAGGGTATTTTGCAATATTTTCGTTCTGGGGCAGACAGAAATTATTTTTACTTTTATTTTTCCCCATAAAATTTTAATTTTTAGGTTCTGAAACCTGTAATTTTCTGAAACCCAATACTTTAAGGAATTGAACAAAATTTACAGAGGTCATGCGAAAATTCTAAATTTGTCAATTTTCCCCCTTGTGCGTCACTGTGCCACTTTAACAAAATAATTTTGCAAATGACCAATGACAAGGTAAGTAAATTTACGAGCTTCATTTTTATTGAGAACGCAGCTGTCAATGATATCAAAAAGTCTGGGCTTTAATTTAGCGTAGGAAATTGTTGAATATAAAGTTGAAAATCATAAGTTTTTAAGCTGTTGAATTTCATCTTGTGATGTCAAAATGTCCAAAGTTCCTTAAAATTTTAAGTATCCACATCTGATTCACACCACTTCTTAAA